TATATATATATATATGGAAAAGTCTTCTCAATGCCTATAGGCGAAAATGAATAGTGATTTCGCCTACTCTCATCACTGTCCAAATTTCATCCCGAGGTCACGATTGTCTAGTAGTGTTTGATTTTTTATTTTATTTTCTATAAATCGGAGCGACTTGAAATTTGAAGAGAATATACTTCTTACTATGGCGCATCTAATAAAAATATATAAAAAATTATCTGTGAAAACAAAATTGACCAAAATGCCCCTAAAATGTTTTGGGGGCATTTTGGTCAATGTTTTTCATGTAGAATATATTTTTTATGTTTTTTTAAGATTTCCCTTTTTTTGATAAATAGACACTTCAAATTTTAAATCATTTCAATTTCTAGAAAAAAATTAAAAAATAAAACACTATCGGACAATCGTGAACGCGCAATAAACTTTGGACGGTGATGGGGGTAGGCAAAATCACAGTTCATTTTCTCCTATAGGCGTTGCGTAGTGTGTATATATGTATATTGGATTGGGTCCAAATGGGTCTGGCTCCAAGCCCCATAAATTATTTTCGGGTCCAGGCTATACTCGAACCAGAGCCGACCCATTACCACCCCTACAAACCCCACATTTTATTTTTTATACAAGGTGGTCACAATTATCATTGACAGTAAGATTTGAATCGAGTAATGGGGTATCTGCCATTATTTGAGTACAAAATCTAAATTAAAATTTCTCAAATGTTGGGGCACACTTTCATCTATTGGATTTCACATCCATTCGTTAAAAATGATTGTAACCTTTATATATCAAACAATAATAGTCTCATAATACACAATCCTAAAATTTAAAGCCTTATTCCTTGTTGGGGTGGGGATAAAATTCTAATAGTAGTCTTCCTTTTTCTTTTTCCTTTTTTTTTTTAGCGATTCAGTGGAGAATTTGTGGTTAAATAAAAAGATGATTTCATAAATGTTCATGATCTTCATTCCCCCACGTCCAAGGCAAGATGTTGGGTCGTTGATATCATTTATAGGGGTGGTAATGGGCCTGTTGGCCCGGCTGGTGAGCCCAGCCCTAAATAATTAAGGCATGGGCCGCAAAATATGGCCTGATGGACAGGCTTGCGCTTGGCGCTGCTTTAATTTTTTTTCTCTTTTTTGTTTTTGTTTTTGCTCAAACCCCATACCCGACCTATTGCGGCCCTAATCATTTATCGCCGACAAAGACGGCATTTTTGCCACTCCATAAACAAGAGGAGGACAATTTAATCACCTCCAAATAAAAAAAGAAGATTACAAATCTTTCAATTTTTGTAGGTCTCAGAGCGACTATAAAATGCATGCACACGGCCATCTCTCTTCGTCCACTCTCTCTGCTCCTCTAATGGGTTCGCTTGTTCTTCATCTTCCCCTTAGAATCGCATTTCTCTCAACAATTTTCTCTCTCCTAACTTACCAAGTTCACCCTGTTTCTCTCTCTAACCTCTCTCATCCCCAACTCGAATCCCTCTGCAAATCCACTCCTTTCCCTTCTCGTTGCTTTGACACACTAAAACTCTCCGTCTCCATCAATCTACCCAACATCTTAGACTTAGCAAAACAAACACTCCAAAATGCATTATCAGAGGCCACAAAAACCACAAATCTCGTTATGGGTCTGCGCCAATATGGCCTTGTAGAGAGAGAAAGAGGAACCATCCAGGATTGTCAAGAATTGCATCAAAGAACACTAGATTTCCTCCAATCCTCACTGAAAATTGGAAACCCGAAACCCGAAAACCTCAACAAAATAAGAACCCTTCTGAGTGCAGCTCTCACCAACAAGAACACATGCTTCGAAGGCCTAGATTCGGCCTCTGGCTCGATAAAACCCACTCTCATGTCCAAACTAAACTCCATGTATGAGCTAGTTAGCAATTCCTTGTCCATGTATTCTAACCCCTCGAAAAGCCAAGGTCGCCAAGGTCGGCGGCTCTTGGAGGACTCGGGGCGTCGGAAAAGTGGTTTTCCGGCCAGATTTTCCCGGAAAAGAGGTTTTCCGGCATGGTTAACCGGCAAAGATCGCCGGATTTTGCAGAGCTCTCCAGGTGATGGTTATGATAGCGGTGATATTTTGATAGTGGCAAAAGATGGGAGTGGAAATTACAGTAGTATAATGGAGGCCGTGAATGCAATGCCTAATAATCGTTTGGACAGGTTTGTCATTTTTGTCAAAGAAGGGGTGTATGAGGAGAATGTTGAGATAGCGAGCAATAAACAAAACCTCGTTATGATGGGAGATGGGATTGATGTAACGGTGATCACGGGGAGCAGGAGTGTGGGGGATGGGTGGACTACTTTTCGATCTGCAACGGTAGGTATGTATAATCCTGACTACTTTCTCTCTCTAGAACTTGTTTTTTTTGCCATGTTCTTCTCTCTACATCCTTCACTGGCTTCTGTCTCTCTCTCTCTACTGAAAGAGTTTCTGCAATTTGCGTTGCTCTTCCTATCTTCAAATTTGTTCGATTTGGCTTTTTGTTCTCTCGCTCTAGGTATGATTTTTTTATTTATTTATGAGTACCGAGTCTAAGAACGACGAATACTTTAAACTTTCCCAAGTGTGATGTAGGCAACAATGTAAAATTTCTCAAAAACTTTTTATGAATCCAGGATCCACATCGCCACGGATTGTATATAATAAAACTATTTATCTTTGATACAAAATGATCACAATTGCTTATAGTCATCCCATTTTAAATTTGATACTTGAGTAGGCCATAAAGTTCGAAAAATATTTATTTTGAAGTTTGAATTTCGTCATTGGAATAAATGTAACCACCCAATTTCATATATCATAGTCAAGATTAATTGTGACCAGCTTGTATCAAAGATAAATAGTCTCATTCTATACTTTTTTTGTATAGATATGGGAACGGTTTCTATACTTCTCTTTTAGCATAGAAGTTCTATGCTCCCCCTACCATCCAACTATCTAATTTTGATCAAGAGGGCCACTTACCATTTGATCGTAGATCCGGCGTCTCAATGTTTTTTATTTTTTATTTTTTTATACAAATTGTATGAATATGAAATTTGGTAGGTGTCATCTTTTCATTGGGACGCACTTATAAAAAATATTAAATATAATTTTTTGATAAAATATAATGACCAAAATACCAACTTTTAGAGGTATTTTGATCATTTTATTTTAGTAAAAATAATTTTTTTTAATATATTTTTCGCTAGTCTGAGTTTAATAGAGAAATAGACGTCCAAAATTTGGTGTCAAAATAGTTTATAGAAAAAAACATTACAAATAGTGCAGAAACATGACTTGTGATTGGGACAATCTTAGCCCTCCATTCAGAATGGACGGTTGGATAAGGGGGAGGATAAAACTTCTATGCTGTAGGGGAAGTATAGAAAACTGTATACAATAAGACTATTTATCTTTGATACAAGATGATCACAATTACTTACAATCATTCGATGTAAAATTTGATAGTCTAGGTGTGTTACAAAGTTTGAAAAAAAAATTATTTTGAATTTTGAGTTTGGTCAATGAAATAAATGTAGCCACACAATTTCACATTCAATGATCAAGATTAATTGTGATCACTATATACTAAAGATAAATGATCTCATTATATACTTTTCCATATATATTTGTGAACTACATAGAACTTAGCACCACAACTTGACTAAAATAGGAGGTGATATAGAATTCAAACAAAGTCGTTTATACCAAAAACTGGGCAAACCGGTCTAAGGAACGCCATGAGGTTCCGACAAGATATCTGTGGCCCATCCTGATAAAGGACGGCAATGATGAACTCTTTCACTATCAGACTTGAAAGCCGCATTGTGGCTCATCTCTACCTTTCATTGTTGCAAACGGACGGTCTAAAGATGGTCCGTTCCCTACAATATACCACATACACCACATGCATCTGTACAACTAGCATGGATAACGTATATTCCCTTCAGCAATACGCGGTTTCAGTTTGATTGGATAACATGATTATGTAGCTTCCCATCAACGTACATCCTGACCATCTATTCTTATAATACTCCATCTGGGCTATATAATTACATGAATGGTCCAATCATGTAGCACAAGCTCTAAGCATAGTTATCAAGCTTGCTCGATAAGCGGTTCAATCAGTTGAACTGTTGATTAGTGCCTTGATCGCTTTTAAAGTAAAAATCAAATATAATAAAAAAAAAAGAAGTCAAAATTAGTGTTTGATCAGTTTTTATAATTCCAACTAGCCAAATAAAGTTTGGCAAAAATTATTTAATATATTTCTTTTTTTAAAACTATTATTTTGTATTTTTTTTTATATTCTAAAATTTAGTCTAACTGATAATTGACAATCAGACCAATTATGTTTGGACCATATCCCTCACCAATTCAGTGGCTTAGTTTGATCTTTATAGCACAAGTCCTAACCATTGTTTGAAAATTCGAGCTCCTCACATGTATCGCATAATTGGGCCATCTGCCCAACAGACGGTCCAGATGCCTTCGCCTATGAAATTTGACATGAGCATGGCTTTTTATGGAGTTCCATTATAAAAGGAGGATGTGAACATAAACTTCTTCTTTCATCTCCCGGTCTTAGACAGTATGAGTAGGGGTATGGGGCATGGTGTACAGTAATTATGATGCCATTTGTGTTTAAATAGCATGCTAGCAGCTCCACAATCGTCCGATTTTCTCAAAGGACAAATGTAGTGGTTCATTCATCAGCTCAACTGTCTATCCAACCGTTGGCACTTGTCATTCAAAGTCTATAAAATTTTGGACAGAAACAAAATTTGATAGGAGGAATTGCTCATCTCAACCAGCCCTACTCATCGTATCGATACCAGATAGTGAAGGAGCTCCAAGCATACTGTTTAAAATTAAAATGTTGTCATAGTATGCTATTCTTATGGTTTGGGCGCAAAGGCCACAACATATGTAGATAATAACTTGATCTGGCCTAGAAACAAGAATGGGTGGTCCAGATGAGCTAAAACATTAAGGCGTGGCAATGGGCCGGGTGGCCACGTGAGCCCGGCCGTAAAAACTAGAGCCTAGGACACGTTTTATGGCCCAAGGACAAGGCCACATTGGGCCAAATTTTCAATTGGCCCAGCCAAGCCGAGCCCTACGGGCACTAGGGCAGGCTAGGCCCCGTTGCCAGCACTGGGCTAGAGTACAAACATTGTGTCTGTGTCATTTGATGCATTGACCACGACTTGCTTATAATTTGTCGGTGCAAAGTGGAGTCCTAGTAAAACACAAAATAATGTAGTCCTTCGATATTAAAAGCTGGTGTTATTTTAATTTGTTTGTTTTAAACGATCATTGTTACCCTTTTTCCCAATTTTATCAGATTTACTTTGGAGTTTTTTTTGGTTTGGTGAAAAAAAAAATATGAAGCAATTGAGTGCTTCAGCCGATTTGGAAGAAGACTTCAAACTTTTTTTTATTTAATATAAATAAATTAGATATTTATATAAATTATATATAGATAATAGAAAAGTTAAAAATGAAAAAATAAAAAAAAAATAAAATAAATATATATATATATATATATATAGTATATATATATATATATATACTTTATTTCGTCGTACGACGACGACTACTACGTACGATCTAGTACTAACGTAAGACGTACGTCCG